TCCGGCAGCGCCGGGGCTGTGCTCGGCACACAGCCTTGATCCGGGCTCTGCCGGGCTGGTGTCGGTGTAGGGCAGTTTGCGGTACCCGGGGGCCACGTGCTGGATTCCAGGGTGCAGCAGAGACCTAGCTGACAGAAAGATGACAAACATGGGCTCATTAATTAACCTGTGATGCGCTTTGTGTCCCCAAAACTCTGGATCGGAGTGATTGATGAAGGAGCTCGGGTTTGGCAATGAGACCTTCTCTAGCTGAGCTGTGACCCCGCAGCAGCAGTGGCAGGCTCTGCCCGTGCTGCTCTGCTCTGCTCTGCTCTGCTCTGCTCTGCGCCAGAGGGAGACGAGGGACGTGGTGACCGTCTCCTTGACGTAGCCCGCACCTTTCCTGACCTCTCCCTGCAATGCCAGCCCATTTCTGGAATATTACTGACACACGTGGGTGGGGATCGCACCAGCGCTCTGTAACGTGTTGCCATTGCTCTTTGAGCACATCCATGGAAGAGGAAAAGATGGAGGCTGTGCCCTCCCCTGTCCCCACAGAGAGCAGCGGTGCCCCAGGCACTGCCCAGGCTGTCCCCAGCCCTGTGCAGAGGTGATGCTCAACCAAACCCTCTCCCGGCTCAGCTGCTGAGGTTTACACAAAATGCATCGGCCATAGTGGTGTTTGGTACTGCGTGGCTGCTGGGTGCATCGGTGCTGTGTGGGTGGTGATCCCCTGGGGCAGGTTGCCCAGAGGAGCTGTGGCTGCCCCATCCCTGGAGGTGGTCAAGGCCAGGTTGGACGGGGCTTGGAGCAACCTGGGCTGGGGGGAGGTGGCCCTGCCCAGGGCAGGGGGTGGCACTGGATGGGCTTCAATGTCCCTTCCAACCTAAACCCTTCTGTGATTCTATGATCTCTATTTACCTCTTCAACACTTCAGAGCTCAGGAGGACGTGCAGTGTTTGCAGCAAACTTGGCAGCGTTCAAGCCATGATGTCTGTCACTTCTGCAGAGCAGTGGGATGGTTAAGGTTGATGTAGGGACCTAGAAGCTGGTGGGAGGAGAAGGGAGGTAGGAATGAGAAATAATAGTTCAGTACTCCCTCGTCACTTGATCTTCACTTGTGCTTCTGGGCACGTTGCTTAACCTCTCTGTGCCTCAGTTAACCTCGCAGCAAAGTGGTTATCATAAAAACAGGAGTAAAATCCTCACCCTGGTGACGTAAGTGGAAGTTTTGCCATTTACTTCCCTGGGGCCATGATTTCACCTAATGTGTCATAGAGACGTGTCGTGAGGTTTCCATTAATTATGATTTTGATAGAGCTTTCAGATCAACAGGGGGAGAGGGCCACGGAGGAAGATTTATGATTGTTATTAGCGATTTCCTATGGGATTGTCTCTCTGTTAATGTTTGAACAAGGCTCTTCAGAGCACGGTAGGGCCCCTATGCTGCTAAAAAAACCACAGAGCCATGGTTTTAGCAGCGATCAGGATTGTTTCCATCAACATGAGGTGCATTTGGTATTGGTATAGGTCGCTGCGGGAACTGACAGGGAATGATTCCTGCACATAAATCCCAGTCTAAACCCAAGTGTATGAAAATGGAAGGGGACTTTTGCCAGTGCAGAGATGCCAGGGTCTGAATTTTGCTGGTAGCATCCCGTGCCTGCCTCTGTGGGGATTCAGGAGCTTTGTCAGGTTGCGAAGCAAGAAAGAGCACATTATTAATATACTGTTGGGTTGGGTTTTTTTGTTACACAGTGCAGTGTTTCTTATTTTATGTTGCAAATTCTTTGAGTGTTTAAAAATACATGTTTTAAAATAATACCTGCCAGTTTTCAGCTTTTCTGCAGAGCAGCAGCAGGGATTCAAAAGCATGTAAGCTGATTAATAGAGAGTAATGTATTTGACCAAAGGACATTTATAGGGCTGTTCCATTCTTTTGCGTACTCCTGCATATCTGTCTGGTTTTTTCTTTCGTTATGGTCATTTTTTGTTGTTCTGATTTTTGTTTTCTTTTTTTTAAGGCAGCTGCAAAGGTGCCAGGTTAGAAGTATAAAATAAGGGGAAACCTTCATAATGCCCAGTCTTCAGGCTTCTTTTTGCAAGCAGGACAATTAAATACCCAGGCTTACATGCATTAGATGAAATGGGATATTGCTTTATCCAGTTTCTTCCCAGCGTTCAGATTTGCTTTGGCTCTAATAGAATTAGGTGATTTGCTGTGTGGATTCCTGATACCTACCGTAATTAGATCCAAACTGCAGCTAAACAGCTTTCGTAGCCGCATTGTAATTTCCCTGCTCAGCTTGCATTATTTATGGAGGAGAGTGGTGACCAGATTGATCCCCCGCCATCTATCAGGACCGCTCACACGACTCTGTAGCGTGCAGTGTGACTTTAAAATGAAACGGCGACAGAAGCAATTCCCCAGAGCAGGGAGCACCAAGGTGACATTTTCTTGATGTTAAAGTTTAAATGGAACAAATCCCTGGCTGGGAAGGAGCGTCGCATTCAGCTCCCACAGTGACACCTAGAGCTGGCCTTGGAAAGGACAGGGTTACCCTGGGTGCTCAGGCTGAGGGTGTACTCTCTGCCCTGCGTCAATATATATATATTTCCTATTCATTTTGTTCAGCATACAGGGATAGCTCTTAATTTGATTTAATTCACTGAAAATTTCCTCTTGCCATAAATAGGAGCCTAGAGAGAATTGTTTTTCCACCGAGCACTGAAACCCGGTTTTCAGAAGCAGCACATGCACAGGCAATTGCACATTTCCTTCGCCTTTCATAACTGCTTATTGCATGCATAAATAACCATAGTTAGCTATTTTCTTGCATATTTACAAGACGTCTGTGCGCACTTATTGCAGCGCTGTCAGCAGTTTAACGACAAATACGGCCCGGTGTGTGGTAGAGGCAGCCTGGTCTCGGTGCCGCTGGTGCGGCTGGCCGGAGGGGCTGCGCGGGGCATCGCCTGCGGGCAGAACGGCCTTTCCTCATTCCTGTGTTTGGTTGGGGTTTATTTTTTGAGTCTTTAAATTCTCTGGTTGGGAAGGTTTGGAAACATTCCCCGACTGAGTTCGTTTCTGAACCTGCGATGCCTTCGGTTTGTACAGGCGGTAATTAGAAAGCAAGTCCGCAAGATTACTCACGCAGTGAATAAATGCTGCAATTAACTCAGGTGGACTCTGCTTCAAGTCAGGGAAAAAAAAAAAGAAAAAGACAAGACGCCTAATATTGAACCTAAATTCTGCTGCTGAAGGAAATTGTAAAAATCTCATCCAAAGGAAGGGAAAAAGTGCTGTTGAGAACATGTGAAAAACTTAATGAAATGTAGCACCATTGATTTACTGTATAAGAAAACAATGAATCTGCCTAGAGTCAACAGATTGATTTACAATTCCAGATGAAAGGAGGGGACTTAAAATGTACAACAAAGCCTCTGAATGGTTTCACAGATCTTTTCCCCTCCAGAAGCCTCTTGCTCTCTTGACTAAACCAAGAAAGGCCTTTAAAAACAAGTTAGCAGAATTGGCTGAACAAGAACAAATTAAGAGATGATGAGGGCTTGAATTTGTTTTGAAATTTGTTCTTTACAGCTTGAACAGGGCCATGTGTCTACCCTGGGGCAGAGTATTACTTGTTAAAGACAATCGACGTGTTTAGGTTAGATTTAACTTGATCTATAAATAGGAGTCCAAAGTGGATTTGAACGTCCTCTGTTTCAGATGTTACTGCATCCCAGGCTTTGACTGGATCTCACTTCTCAGGCATTACCTTTGCATAATTAAATACATTTTAAAATGTTTGTTGGATTCTGACCAAAAGCCAGGTTCAGAGGTCCTGTTGGGACTCTCGCTGTCCATGAGAAGAGCACATGGTCTGGACAGGCCGGTAGGACAAGGGCTGTCCAGTAGGCAGAGGAGCTGGAAAGCCAGACCAGTTCAAATCCCAGGTCCTTTTGGGCCAAATCCCTTTGGGCAACGCTGAGTCTCTGCTAGGGGTTAGTACCAGAGGCTTTAGAAGACAGACTCAGAAACCCTGTAGCATGTGGTTAGAAGATGATCGAGAGATGATATGTAGCTCATCTTTTATATCGGATGGTGTCTGTGGATCAGGAGGAGAATTCAGGTCCTGTTTTGGTGAGGGGACAAGGTAGGGAAGTAGTAGACGTGGCACGTGGCCCTGACAGCAGGCTTGGAGATGGAGCGAGAATCTTTGGAGGCTCGATCCAAAGTCCATCAGAGAAAACAGAAGGAATCCCACCAATTTCCCTGGTCTTTGGACAGGACTCTCATCCCACAGACACTCAGGCAAAAAGATATCTCGGGGAAATTTTTGCAAAGCCTCCTAAAATGAGGAAGATTTCTGTTCACACCCAAAAGCCCTTGCACTGGGTTAACAGGAAAGGTTAATGCTGCTTTCCATTTCCTTCTACTTTGAGGGGAGAAGAGAGACTTTGAGTTGCCTGAAGATAAAAAGTAATGATTGTATTGGGATTTGTTTTTAACACTGTGCCAGAACACCCAGGAGCTGTATGAGACTTGATTTGAGGTACCTGCTGGGAGCTAGCAGGTTTATAAAGCCTTTTACAGAGCCGTTCACGACCTGTGATGTGCCAGTATATTCAGAAACCCTAAAAAAAAAGGTGAATTCAGAGTGTGACTAGAGTTTCTCTTGGAGTCAGTACAGCTTTACGTTGCAAGGCCTTCTTAAAAATACCTAAGCCTGCTGATGGTAGATGTGACAGACTGCAGTGGTGTAGCATCCTCCGGTTTCTTGGAAAATTGTATATGCTGCTTCTGGGTATTAGAAATTCTTGAGAAATGTTCCTGTGGGCAGTAGGTGAAGGGACAAAGGCATCTCCAGATAAGCAAACAACGCTTGTTGAGGATAAGCTCCTGGGAGACAACGGGGCTCCCGCTCTTTGGCTATAATGGCCAGAGGGACACGTTTAATGGAGGTCTGAGCAGGAAAGGGAGTTCCTGAAGGAATACAGCTCAGAAAATGAGAGGAAAGCCTGTAGGCAGATGTAACGCTAAATTAGGGCAAGGGAAGTAATCTGACCTAGGGGTCTGAGGGAATCATCTCCAGTGGGATCTGCTCTTTTCTGGCATTGCCACCCCCAAGGTTTGGGCACCCCAGATGGCTCCCAAGTCTGCTTAGTTTAGAGGTGCATGAAGGGTTTTGTTGAGTCCAAAAGGACAGTCTAAGCTCAGGTGTTTTCCTCTCTGTGGGGATTACTATGTTAGAGTCTACCTAGTCTGGGCTTGGCGGGTGGCTTTGAATGGCGTCCAGCCCGGCTGGCCCCTCCGCGGCACGGAATGAGCAGCCCCAGTGGCAATATCAGCGTGGGAGTTCGGATGGTGTTGGGGGAAGCCAACGTGGGGCTCGGGCACAGGCTAATGCCCATGATGCACATGGCTTCCAGCGTGCCCTGCTGGAAGGCTCGAGGGGACACCGTGCCCACCAGCGTCACCCTCTGGTTTGGGGAGGTCCAAGTTTACTCCTAGCAGCGATGGGGGGACAACGTGCCAGCAAAACTTGTGTTTGGTTGAGGCCACTATTGCAACCAATTAAGGCAATACAATAAGATGGATCTGAAAAGACCAGGGAGATGCTTTTGTCTTACTTTAGCTCAATTCCTTCTGACAGGAAACCAGGCCTTTGTGTCTCATGGAAGAATTATTCTGAATTGTTAATCTTCTTCATACATTTCCCTGCTTGGTGATGACACACTCATTGTTGAGTTCGGCTGCTAACAAAATCATTATCTGTCGAGTGGCTTCAATTTGCTGAGAAACCAGTCCTCTTAGCGTATCTGAAACTTTGTGCTTAGAAAAGGGCATGCTGGAACATCTTTTTTTCTTCTTTGCATTGACGTGATTTCCCAAACACTTGGCTTCCCAGCTGTGCCTCAAAATGTGCTCCATCCTTCCCTTTTCTCGGGTGGGCTTACTGGACCTTTGCTATATTTTGGATGTACGTGTCTCACGGAGGAGAGGGAGCCAATCTCTAAGCCCCGAGCTCCTCAGAATCGAATGAAGCCACATAAATTACATACATTTCAGAGAAAATTTAGAGGAAAACCTGATCTTCAGTTGGCGGAAGCGGTCTGGAAGCGGCTGTGTTGAGGTCACTGGGCTGGGGGGAGTTATACCTGCCAGAACGGAGGTGATTCTGCCCTGTGGTGCTGAGGCTGGTGTTACTGGGGATAACTGGTGTTATACGGAGACAGCCCAGGCAAAGAGGGGTGCAATTACAGCCTGGGCCTTAACGAGCTGGGCACACCCCATGCCTCAGGCTGTGTCGGGGCAGGGCGGGCAGCGGGGCTGGTGGTGGCCACGCGTCCCCGGCTGCTGGCCAGAGTGGCCAGGGGGTGCCCAGGGCGCAGAGCCGGGCTGGCCTCCGGTGCACATCGACCGGCCTGTTCTGCGCCACAGGGGCAGTTTCGTTTGTGAAAGCCACGTGCTTCCTTCCCCCGTACCTGTTCGGTGCAAGTTACTTAACGCCCTTTAATTCCTAATTATGTATTTGTTCCTTTGGGATAAACTGGAAATGCAAGAGAAGGCTGGGGTCAGCGAAACAGCAAGGCAGGAGGGATTTTGCTCTAGGAGAAGTGTAATTACACCCCGACCAGATTTGCATAGCATTTTGTTGCAAAAATACAGATTACAAGTGCTGCAAGAGAGCTGATGACCTATCAGCAATAAGGCACAGAGATGAGTAATTAAAAGGGTGCGCAGCTAATGGCATTGGTTAGAGAAAAAAAAAAAAAAAAAGCACAAGGTACATAGGTCGAACTAGGGCAGCTCTAAGCCAAAATTTCCAGAGCAAGGTAACTTGACATTTATGTAGTCAACACAGGTTTTGTCAGAACTGTAGAGAAAGGGATTGATTATCTGATCGTTCATAGGAAGCATTTTTAAAGGACTGACTGGTGCACAGCAGCACGGCCGCCCGGGCACAGAGCGGAGCTGGGCAGCCCGGGCACAGGGCATCGCGTTCACTGAGGGCAGGTTTGATTGAGAAAAGCAGCTGGTTTGCCAAAGTATATATGGCCTTGGGCAACCTGGTCTAGTTGGAGGTGTCCCTGCCCATAGCAGAGAGGTTGGAACTCGATCTTTAAGGTCCTTTCCAACCTAAACCATTCTATGATTCTATATGTCTCTTTTTAAAGTAGCCTTATCATCAAGTAAAATGCTTTTTTATGAATTCTTATGCATAAGAAAGTTCGCTTTGACTTTAGCAACACTATAATCTGCCTGTTAGCATGATGTTGTCCAAATTGTTCAGACTGGTATGCATAATTGTCCATCTTAAATTCCCATTAGCTCTCAGCTGGGAAGTGAGCGCATTTAGCATGGATCCCTGGAAGAGAATGGGTGGGCTTGGATACATATCCATTGCGTGGAGAGATGAATTTACATATCTCTACTGCTCAGCAACAATTATTAAACTTGCAGCAGAGATTTGCTATAGTATCTGCTCATACTTTTAATTAAAGAAGTGTCTGCTGTGCATTGGACTGTACCTCCCAGTCTTCAGAAGCAGCCCAGCTCCCTTCCCACTGTGTGTCCCTGTTAGCAAAAGTCCAAAAGTGATGGAACATGGGGAAAACAGGACTGCCACGGTCTGTTCCTGTACCTGCTGTTCAGTTAGGGTGTTTATGGAGCCATCCTGGTTCTGCCTGCGGCCAGTTGAAGAAGACAAAGACACATCAGGGAGTACAATCCATTCTCGGTCCTGGTCGGCAGCCCCAAGCCCTCCCCTGTACTCTGCACCCGCGGAATGGTCTGTAGTCCAGTTCGGGCTACCCTGCTTGGTGCTCAGATACCACAGTGCTGAGTCTAATGCAGAGCAAAAGATAAATGATTTTGTTTCAAGGAAGCTGAATGTAAGTAGATCCACATGTAGCGTTTTAAAGCGGTTTTGTTTTCTTCCCACAGCGATGAAATCAGGAGGCACCCAGCTGAAGCTGATCATGACGTTCCAGAACTATGGACAAGCATTGTTCAAACCAATGAAGTAAGTAAAAAAATTCTGTGTTGCGGAGTAAAATTGTGGTGGAATAGCCTGTTGCCATTTTCTAAGCTGTTAAAAGTTTACTGTAGCATCTCTCAAGGTTCTCAAGGTGTCTGGTTCCCCGGGCTTGCTCGCTTCAGGGGCTGTTGAAGCCTTGCCCTGCTAGAGCGGGCTTCGGGAGAGATCCCGAGGAGGCTTCAGATACATTGCAGTCTTCTCAGGAATGTTATTCACTCTGATCTCTGTGAAATCTCCCTTCATAAATACAGAATGTTTTCAGCATTTCTTTCGTATGTAAACTGACTCCGTGGGTCTGAGCTTTATCTAGCGTCAGTGCTCCCCTGGAATATGGCCAGACAAGAGAGATGCTTCAGAACAGCTTTGGGAAGAGCTAAATAGTATTTGTCTGATAAATTATAATTTAATCCGTTGATTTATTGTTGTTTGTATTAAAGGATTGTATTAGTCATTTGGCTGTGGCTATGCTGACTCTGTGAAAATGAGTTTATCTGAGAGTGGTGCTGCAAGGTAATGAATCTAGAGAGAAAGGGAAGGACTGGGATGATGCAGCCTTGGTTTGTGCCTGCCCAGATCCCATTGAGATGAGGGAAGCTATTCAGATACAAAGCAGATGGAAATGAGTTCTGAATCCTGACCTGTGTGTTTGTGTTGTAATAAGGAAAATGGCTCTGTGCGTATTGTAGAGGGTTTAGCAAAGACACTCGGGGCTGCAAAATGTTTAATGAAGCTACTCAGTATCTGTGTCAAGGGTACCACTGGAAGAATAAATTCATTTCCTTCTTTTGTTCCCATTGTAGGGAAGTTCAGTTCATTTCCTCTAAGATGGTCCATAAAAGACTAAAGTAACTGAGAACGAGTGGTTTGGAATATGTGTTGGCATTGTGTTACAGGGGAGCACAGCTCGGGGTAAGCTGCTGGCTGGAGACTGAGCAATTCCCTGTTTCGCTATAGATTTTGCTGTAGGCTAACCTCAGACAAGTATAGATTTGGCTTGATCTTATTTGACTGCCAGATGGGCCAAATAATTGGTCCCACTTTCCTTCAACTCATGTTTGAGCAGGAGCCCTCCTTATGTGCATTCGTCCTGGGAGGCACAGGGAAATCCCGTGAATGTCCAGGCAGGACACGGCATTTGTGCAAAGGCCAGGTGCCTTGGTGGTGTTTCCCAAATTGCATACAGATTTTTCTATGTTTCCCGCACATCACTGATTGCCTGGGAGCGGTCAGAAGATAATACTGGCCAGTCAGAGGGAAGGTGGTATCTGAGAGCATCTACTCCAACATCTTCCCTTCCCCTCTCTGCCCTCCCCCCAAATGCTCAGATCATCACATTGTCAGTGCACAGGTCCATCCCCTATATCTGCAAGTTTGATGCACACAGGCACAATTCCTAATTGTGTCTGTCCCACACACGAAACCAAGACCCAGGCGGGTTCGAGTCGCCTTTAAATGTTTGGCAGAATTGTGGTTGCGCTGTTGGCTTTTTACACGGTGTGTGATTTGTTTCTTCCCCATTTGCTGAGATGCAGATAATCTCAATCTTTATCATTGGTATGACATTGTAATTCTGGGAGTGCTAATGAGGTCAAATCAAAAGTTTACCGTTTCTACTGTACATACGCAGCCTTGGCAAGATGATGGATGACAATAGAGGTATAGCCACGTTCCTCTGTAGAGGCAATTACTACCATCCACTAGAACAATAACAGAAAATGATGATGTCTTAATCATTGCCTTTGCTTGATTTGAAGGGCAGCAACACCCTGTTTTCTCCTGCATTACATACACCACTGGAAAAAGCAGTAGTGGAGCGTTCAGCAGCTGTGTTCCCAGGCACCACACCTTACAGGACCAACACGGCTGCGTTTGTGCTGAGCACCACTGAACACATTAGTGATTTTGAATAAGGATGTTTGCAAGCATTTGTCTTCATTCTGGTAACAGTGAACAGGGAGCCAGATGGTGCAAATCTTCCTAGCTCCTTTGGCATCTGGTCCCATTGGCCTCTCTCACCAGCTTATGGACTGCTGGAGATGAAGTTCTTGGAGAGGTTTGCAGCATCATTTCTTTATACAAAAATAAGCAGCCCGGAACTACAAAAACAACAACAAAAAAAGGCTTTTAAAGCAATGAGACTTCTTGTAGGACCTTCTTCAAGCCCTGGGTACCTTGCAGGCTGTTTCTGGAGCCCCCTCTTTTCTGCAGGGTACCTTTCTGATCCAGCTTCAACAGAGCTGGCTGCGCCTTGCCGGGTCAGGAGGCCAGAGGGAGCTCCCAGATCAGGGGCACACATCTCTGGACGTCAGGACTGGCAGTGGAAAGGACATTCTTTTCTAAATAGTTTAATTTGAGGACCATAAAATATCATGCTGGTGGCTACTTCTGAGATCAGCTCATTGTTCCTTCAATGAGGCTTCCTTGCGCATGGTGGATAGCCAGGATGTCTCCAGGTGGTGCATCCTATGTGTTTCAGTTGTTACTCAGCTCCACAGCTGTTCAAAGCAGCGGAAGCTGTGCTTTTCTTTCTCCTGAGTTGATAAGCCTCTTTGTACAAGCAACCTTCTTCCTGAACCCCAGGTAACAACCATTGAATAGTGTGGAGTGCCCAGCTGCGTAGGAAAACTGGGGCCTCGGATCATCTCATCAGCGCTGGAGGAGGCGATGTGAGTGGCATTTCTGTGTTAAACTGAACTGAGCCACTGTTCTTTAGAAAATATAGTTGGCATCGGTAGGATTTCAGGCCCAATCCCAAGGAATGTTGATCATCCTGAGCTTCCCACCCCGTCTGGGATTCCAAGTACCGAAAGCGGAATGGTGCGAGGTCCCTGCAGGGTGATGCGCAGGCGTGAGGCCAGTCGCTACCTGGGTTTGATTCACTGGAACTACCTGGAAAGCGGGTTCTGCTGTACCGAGCCGTACTCCCTACCTTCCAGCCTCATCCCCTACCTGTCTGAGCGGCAGCTGGGGGAGACCGTGCAAACCCCTCCCTGACACAGCCGGGCATCTGCTGGGCCAAAGGAAGGTCTCAGACCTTGGCAGGGACTTCTGCGGGGGGTGACAGCAAAACGTCCTCCCCGGCCAACTGCTTGAAACGCTGTGGAACTCGGCGGACCTGCTCTGCCCTTTGCCAGCCTCCCCTTTCCATGCTGAATTTATCCAGGGAGCAAGGCAGCTCCAGAAAGGCCCAGGCGGGATTTGGAAATGGGGAACCCAGAACCTGCCTTGGGCACTTTTTGTGCTCAGTGTTTGAAGTTAACTGAGAACTCTCTGTCTGGGCAGGGGTGCGGGCTGGTGGAGCGCACGAGAGGAGGGAGGCCGGACAGTCAGGGAAACACGAAAGCCGTAAATAAAGCCCGATCAGCTGCAATTATTTTATTTATTTGTGGCTCTGCATCTTCATTTGTGAAATAATTGCCCATAAAGTATTGCAGAGGGAGCCAAATCTATTTATAAATCCTATGGCCCAGTGTAGATTCCTCTGCTAATGCCAAATGCATCATAGAAAAAGCAAGTATTTGCTAAAACTCCAGGGAAGATTTAATGTTTTTGCAATGTATCTTACAGTTAATGGGTAGTTTTATTTAGCTCATAACAGTTCAATCATACAAAATTATTACCATATGGGACAGGAAAAAAATAGCAGCCTCCCTTCTCCCATGATTAGTGTGTCTAACTGTACTAGTATTGTACAGCATAATAAAATTTATTTACGTTATCGCTGATATCTGCAGCCACAGCTTTCTGTATGACTTATCAGGTAAGGATGCTGTAGAGCCATAAATTTCAAAGGGGTTTGGCTTATTTGTCCAAAAGGAACATGCGCTTTATAGTTTTATTTGTTTTCCCTTTGTTTCTGCTGGCTGGTGGAGTTAAATAGCTGGCTCAGCAACAAAACCAACACACTACTTTTTTTCCTCCCAAGGCTTTATTCTTGAAGGGGGAGATTCTGCCCCAGCAGAGTCAGTGTTAGGATTCCTATTGCATACGCCGGTGCCAGGATTTTGTGAGAGGTTTTTATAGTTCCTTACGGAAAAGCCAAATGGGATCGAATAGAAAATGATACCTTGTTATTGGAGTTGTGAGAAAAGTGTCCGGTGGTATGTGTTTAAGAATGACATCTCTTATTCCCAGTTTTATAGACTGCTTTGTAGAAATGTGTAGAAAGGGTAATCATTATAAAATCTTGGAGGTTTATTTGTTCCCTTCAAAGCAATACTACCGTGTCTAGCGAACTCCGTTTTGACTGAAACAGATAAAAGCCAGTTCGGCTCCGACTTTAGATTTTGCTCGATATTTTTAACATCTGTTTTCTTTTCTACTGCTTTTACAAGTCACAAGCCAGGGTTGGTAAGAGCCACGTGGCTGTTTCTTTCAGTAGCTGAAGTTTGCAGTTAAAGTCTTCAATAAAGTAGAAGCAATTAGCATCAGGGTGATATCAGGCCAGAAGAGACTTTTGGGGTCACAAAATCCAGTCTGCTTGAATCGCAGGCCATCATCTCACGGAATCCCATTCCTTAACTGGTCAAACACTGCTGACGGTGGTGTTTGTCGCCTTGCCTCCGCCGTCCCTCCCGACGCTCCCCGGCGCATGGCCGGCCACCGAGTGGGCTGGTGGCCACGCGCCAGTGCAGAGCTGTGCTCTGCAGGGGTACGACAAGCACACTCGCGTTCCGGCTCCTGCAGTGGTCCTGTAGCGTAGGTTTTGGCTCCGAGACGTGGGCGCTGGTGGCTGGGCTGAAATCGAGCAGCCAGGGCCACGGGGAAGAGAACGTTTTTGTTTCGATTGGCAAAGCGCAGGGTTTTACTAAAGGCTTTTAAATGTCAGACTTACAGCGACAAAGGATTAGCAACGTTCTTTAAGTTTCTCTTTGATTTCCTTTTAGGATTGCGCAACAAAGAATCCATCTTTTGGTAGGGATATTAAACAGGCCAAACAATCCCCGTAATACAAACAACTGTTAATCGCTTTCATTTCCGACAGT